TTTCTTTCTGTTAGATGACACAGAATGGTGGACTTTTGATTTTTGAAGGATGAAGCTTGTATTTTTTATGTGGATTTTGATCATGATTTTGTAAAATTTTTAAATGAATTTTTTTCATACTTTATAACTACATGAGGGGATAAATGACCAATTATTTAATGATACTTCTTTACTTCTTGATTTTGGTAGCTCCCCTAAGCATTTAAGTGGTTCTGTTTTGTCTTTCTATAGTTTGCAGGGAGACTTACTTATTTTGTTATCTTCTTTTTGCATATCAATGACCAATTTAATAGTTTAGAAAACTGGTTTACCCTAGAATATGGATGTGTTGTTTCATAGTCTTGTCTTTGTCAAGTTGGTACTTGTTGTTAGCTATAACATTCATGTATGCTTGTGTGTTAAGCTTCTTATATAGAAGCATTTATTTTTTTAACTTGTGAATTTTCTGGATGTGGTTTAGTGTAGTTTTATGGTCATGGAGGTTGTTACAAATGCAATAAATATGCCAGTTTCTTGTTGCCTGTTATTGAGAAATATTGACTTTTGGTGTTTTTCTGGGACAGATGAATGTAGAAAAGTTGCAAAAGATGGCCGGTTCGGTTAGAACCGGTGGAAAGGGTACCGTGAGAAGGTATGTTTAGTTTTCTGTAGTTTCTGTGACTGTTGCGACATGGAAATAGTTTGTGTTAATGTGTTGAGAAAGAATGTGGGTTTGTTGCTAACTTAAAAGATTGCAATTACTTGAGAACCTGTTTTGCCATGATAATTATTCCCTTTTTCCTTGAGAGCTGCTCACTTTATTACAAAATGAGTGTTTGATTATAAAATTTCCAATTCTAACTTGGAGTTTGATTCCAAGTTTGAAAAAGTGCTCCAAACCTATCTTCCAACTCCATCTTCATAAATTCCAAATAAAGTAGTTGATTCTCTCTTTTGCAAAAAGTATATAATCAAACAAAACTTCATCTTCATCTCCAATTTCATAAATTACAAATAAAATGAAAAATATTTGGAATCTAATGCCCAAACGCCTACTTAAATTAGTAATGACTAACAAGTGTTTGTCCAAGGGTCAAATTGAGTGAGGAAGGGAGAGAAAGGGGACATGAGAAGTGTATTGATAAGGGGCATCTTATTTTTTTCATTCCTGTTTGCTGAATTAGTGCTACTTCTGCAGAAAGAAGAAAGCCGTACACAAGACAACTACAACCGATGACAAAAGACTACAGAGCACGTTGAAAAGAATAGGTGTCAATGCCATTCCTGCTATTGAAGAAGTCAACATTTTCAAAGAGGATGTTGTTATCCAATTCAGTAACCCCAAAGGTATTAATATAATCTGTGTTTCACATAGTTTAGTCATCTGTTGCTTTATTGCCATTCTAATAACCATTGTTTTGGATTCTGTTCAGTTCAAGCATCAATTGCTGCAAATACATGGGTTGTCAGTGGAGCCCCCCAGACAAAGAGTATGTGCTCTGTTCTTTTCTCATGATTTGCACCATTTGAATGTAACCTCAACATATGATTTATTAGTTATAACTATGCCACAAAACAAATTTGATTTTGAGACTAGCATTCTTTCTGTTGGGTCTATAACACATGAGTCCTTGATTGATAGCGGATTTGTGCTTCCTTACGGTTTTAACTCCTTTTGACTATGTCTTGGGGACGCGCATAAGAATTTCTAAGCAATATTTCTTTCCTCTTGCAGAATTGCAGGATATTCTCCCTCAAATTATTCACCAGCTGGGTATGTGCCATTTTTTTAGCCTACACTTTGAGTCGTGAGAAACCTTGAACAATTAAGTATATGTTTTGACTGTTGAAAATTACAATTTTCAGGTCCTGATAATTTGGAGAATTTGAAGAAGTTGGCTGAGCAGTTCCAGAAGCAGGTACCTGGTGCTGCAGATGCGGCTGCAGGTGCTGTTGCAGCACAGGAAGATGATGATGATGTACCAGAACTTGTGGCTGGTGAAACTTTTGAAGCTGCCGCTGAGGAGGGCCACACTTCCTGAAGGTTTTGTTGAACTTACTTTCCAGTGTTCTGATATTAGATTTTGCCTTGGCTTTTGAGTGTTCTATTTCATTTCTATTGTGACACATCTCAAAAGAATTCTTAAATGCTTTTAATAGTAAGCTACTTTGCCCTTCAAAGCATAATCCTCTATTTCAGCATTGCTGCCTTCTTCTATGTCATAGTATTTGTTATTCTATACAAGCTAGTCTTTATATAGTAAGAATATGTCATAGTATCTGTTATTCTATACAGGCTAGTCTTTATAGTAAGAATGCGTGATTACATAGGTCTCCTTTTGACACACATGGGGAAAAACTTTCTGCTTTTTGCTGATGTCCTTATGTTTTGTGTATGATGGGGGCTTAGCAGGTTGTGTAATTGAGGTTGAACAGTCATTTTGGTTGTCATGAGGTAACAATTCTGTAATAATTATAGGGGCCAAGGCTAATGCTATTTGAGCTTAGCAACTAACAGGCCAAGCAGTAACAGTTCTGAGATTGCTTTATAGGGAGCTCTCAACCAGTGACTAGTTCTTTTGGAATTCCACCCAGTGTTTGGTATTTGCTTTGGTCTTGATTGATTTCTATTCGCACCAAGAAAAACTCTTAAAGACTTTTGATAAAGAATGATTGTGGTTACTACTTCCCTATCACAATCTCGAGTAGTACACTAACTGTTTTTAAGTAGCTCGTTAACTTGTTGAAGTTATCTTCTCTCTTAATTACCTTCACACTTTGCTGAGGAAATTCTGGGATTTTAAGTGCAGTTTTAAAACCAAAAGGAAGATTCCAATGTTTATTTTTCAAAGAATTCCGTTGATCACAAGAAAGGTAAGTGTTTTTCCAGCTAATGGAGCAAGGTTTGGAAGGTAATTAAAAAGTACGTTACCATCCATTTGTTCAACGTTTAGTACACAGCAAACAAGTATAACTGTACAAGCAATATGGCTCATGACTATTGACAAGATTATCAATTAGTATCATTTAGCAGATGAAAAAAGTACTTTGTACTAGTTACAATAAGTTGTTGCAATAACCTACTTGCATCCAACAGGCTCATGAGGCACTTGGAGGTCACATAACATTCAAAATTTTGAATACTGCTTGAACTCATTTAGCCACATTTTTAGTTTGTGTCAATTAGCATAACTGAAACTGGTCTACTACACAAGGTTACAATTTTGTACATTATATTTTGTTGCAAGTCCACTGCTGCCATCTTCTGGCTTTCCAGCTAAAGCTAGAAATTCATCCTCATGTGATCGATCCTAACACGCTTCCACTGCTTGCTTCACTCTCAACTATTAGTACTACTGTGACTAGCAACCTTTTTGGGATCACAGTCATCGTCAGATAGCCAATCTTGTTCAGGGCATAACGACTCCTTACCCCGATTAATAGATAATTCTTGGAGAGGGTGAACAAATGATTATATGGAAAGTCACAGTAGATTACTCAACCTCAGTTACTATAGCATTTGTTGCTTCTACTATTTCCTTCTTACACTTGCAAAATATGCAAAACCAGCCTTCATCATATGATGGGACTGCAAATTATCATTTCTCTAGGAATAAGTTTTCATAAATAAAATATGAGCCTGCAGACGTATAGCTATACAGAAGTAGTAAAGTTGTGCTCTGATGCATAAGGATTGGAAGAAAAGGGAGAAATAGAGGATTCAGACAAACCTGCTATTTTCTCAAAGACATTTTTTATGGATAGCGCCGCGCAGTTGCATGTACCATCATCATTCTCAGGAAAAGCTTCTTGCAATTTGCATTTGTCACAGATAATCTGAAAACAGAAGAAGAAACTTTTAACTCTGCATGCAAGTTTGATTATCTATCTATTTATGCAGATTTTTTTTCCTATTTCAGATTAAATGCTGATATGAGTTTTAAGGGGTAGGCAAATAAAGTGCAATTAACAGACAAGCAGTAGAGAAAATTAGCAATTATCTGTCAAGACATGATATGACACCTGAGATTAACTCTACCTCAAAAGCTAGTTCATGAGAGGAAAATTATCAAGTCCATATAAGCAAACTACTCCGTTCTCCAATCAATGTGAGACTTCAACTCACTCTAATAACTCCCTTCACACCCAGGCGCAACTGGAGTACTGATTGTAAGTCCAAATGGAGTGGAACTTTACTTTAATACCATTTTAAGATATGACAAAGAGATCAGACTTAACCTCAAAATCTAGCTCATGAGGGGAGTAAGGTTTGAATCCATATAAATAAACCATTGGTCCATTCCCTATGCAGACTCTTAACATAATCAAATCTGGCAAAGGTGCTAGTTGCATACATGAAGGACCTCTTTAGAATGGTGGAAGTAGTGGTGGAGCCACTGCTGTCAAGGGTTGTCGTTTTACACCCCTTTGTTGGAATATTATATTGGTACATCAACTTCTCAACTTGCTGCAAATGTCAACCTTAACCCGTGAATCATTGATTTTGCAGTCACTCAACGCGTGAGTTTTGATCAATCGTTGTCCTTGGAACACCAATAATGGTACATCGCGCTGATTCACATAAACTTCTGGCAAAGTGTCCATTAATCCTACAGCAGCTGCACGAAGATCATGAAAGGTCGCACGAAGAATCCATCTAGAAGGCTCTATTGGTTTAAATATCTTTGCATTAGGTTTTATATACTAGTTAGTCAATGTTTATTAATTTTTACTAAGGGCAAATGAAAAAAATATACTCGTTCAACTATGTTTGAGCATCTATTTTAGTAAGAACAAGTAAAAGGAACTAGAGTAAGTAATTATTTGTGAAAAGGCTAATATCGAGAGAAAATGATAAATTCTTCATTAACTAAAATGGATAAATAAAAAGAAAAATCTAATTTTAGTATCTTGAACAAGTAAAAAGCAAAGGAGGGTTCACTAAACTGAAATTAAATTTTAGTATCTAATTTTAAATCATCGACATGCATATACATTACAAAAAAATTACACTATCAGTGTAATTTAACATGTATATGGGCATTTTCACAGAATTCAACAATCATACCGGACATATCATCTCCGATAATAGAGATCAAAAGCAAAAGTTAGTTCCATATCAAACCAATCCTCGGCTTAAACGTTGAAATTTCAACGTTACACTTTTTTACAGCGTATGCACTAGTATAAAAACATGTTATCCCAGAAATGAATACATCAAAGTTAATACAGAATTTGGGGTTCCAAATTCTCAACCGGGTGCAGGTGGTGGAGGGGGTGGCTGCATCGACATATGGGGCATAGCATGGTGACCACCATTAAAGTGCTGAGGTGGTGGTGGCGGACGCCAAACATTACCACCCATTGCAGCTGGTGGTGGAGGGGGCCTATTTAGAGGTGGAGCCATCTGTGGGGGAGGTGGAGGTGGCATTCCTCTGAATTGCATTTGCTGCTGCGGAATGCCAGCTGGACCTGGTTGCATAGGCTGTCCCTGCCAAGCTTGTGGTGGAGGCATCTGCATTGGTGGGTAGACATTAGGCTGCATAGGTGGTGGCCGGATTGTTGGAACAGGAGCTGGAGGCATAGGACCATTTGCAAAAGGCCGTGGGGGAATGGGAGCACCAACCGCACCATTGGCTTGTGGAACACCGGGAAGTGTTGGGGGTCCACTTGCAAACATGGTGTGAGGCCTGTTTTTCTGGGTACCTGGATTACTAGAAGCTAAAACCCTCTCTGCATATCATCCACAACAAATCAGAATGTATTAGAAAAGTAATGATTGCACAATTAAAACAAAAAGGATAATAAAGTTCCTGAAATTCAAAACACCGAGAAGACATATAACAGCAACTCGTGCATTTTGATAAACACCTCACTCATTCCCCTTGTTACCCACTTTGAAGAATTTCAAAATACTGAGTCTTCTACAGGCTTTTGGTTCCAAATCACTACTTGAATTCAAATGACATTTCCAAATTGTGATCGCACAAGCATAGCAGAGTTCAACAATCTTGATCGAAGACAAGTATCCAAATCCTAGCATTCTCAACTTCTTTATCATAAACATAAACTCTTACCAGCAGGGGTGCCATGACGTTCCCCCTTAGTATCTTTCTTGTAGGCATAGGACACTGTAATTTGGCGGTTGCAAAGATATTGACCATTCATTGCCTGCAGAAACACCAAGTTGGAAGTCAGTCCAGATTCATCAGCTAGAAAGCATCTGGCATGGACTAAGGATTTGAAACCTCAAAAGCAACAGTACATTAAAAATCCAGAGTTCTCCAAACATGTAAACTAGTAAATGTCAGATGAAGATGCAAAGTTTGAACTCAAGTACACCACATGGGAGAAGTTGTATCTTTACCAATAACAGGGTCCTCATATTTAACAGGACTTCAAGAAGCTGGTTTAGTGGTGCCAATTAGATCAAGTTACAAATTAGGCACTAGAATAAGAAACAGTTCAAATCATCACATTGACCACTTAAACTTGTCTGAGATAAGATATTCAACGCTTGGAAGATGCATCCTGCACACTACTATTTTTGTAAGTGATATTTTATTGCTATCAGACTGCCACAGCACCCAGAGGGTGCCTCATAAGGTTTCACAATATGTATCAGAATCCCTAAAAATGTAGGGAATCTAGGAAGTCCATCAGTTGCTCACACTCATATACAGCCAGATACTTGCACCACAAAAACAAATTCTGCAAAAATTTGAAATTCACAAAAGAAACTGTGATAATTCTGTCTTCAAAACATCTATGAATTCTAAGCAAACTGTCCAAAATATGCATATCAGAATGATTCTCCATAGATGCTGTCAGGAATTGATTGCAGATCCTATGTACTGACTTCTGTGGCATTACTCATATTGCATCCTGTACACTAATTTTCCAACATCTTCATTTTTGTTTCTACCACAACCATCAGAAACGTGACCTTCCTAATCCCTCAACTGATATTTAAACTCAAGACTGCCCAATATTAGATGAGAAAACTCTCCTTTTAGTTGTTGTCCCTTAGATGCAAGGTCAAGCTATAATCCTAGGACCTTTAACGCAGAGATGCAAACTCTGAGGCAAAGGAGAGGTGCTGAAGGAAAGGAAAAAGGAAAGACGTAGAGAATCAATGAATTTTAGCCACTTCATCCAAGAATAATGTATTCCCCCATTTCAATTTGTTTGTGTTACTTTCTTTTTTAGTTTATTTCAAAAAGAATGTCAATTTCTATATTTAGTAAAATTTCACACCTGACATCCTACATGGCATATTTAAGATTTTGATACATTACACAAATCATTAGTTTAAGACTACAAGATTTAAAAGACTTCTTCATTTTCTTAAATTCCATGCCGAGTCAAACTAAAACACATAAACGGAGGGAGTATTATATATGCAAGGTAAAACTAAAGTTATTTTGTCCCAAGGACACTACTATTATACTAAAACCTTAAAGCAGATATGCAAACTTTGAGGCTAAGGGAGGGGGGGGACGAAATATGTATATGCTTCAAAGTATTTACACACTAGTCACAACTGATCCATAATAACAATTAACGTATATACATGCATACCTAACTATACTCGAGGGGTACAACTTCTACTATATCTGATTGTTCAATTACACAATTTTTAAAGAAACACAAGCTTCCATCTCCTATACAAAGTCAGACACGGATAATTTGGGGCAAAAGGTTTCCAAACTCAACCCTTTTATCATTAACTTGGAGACAATCTCAAATCATATAGAACAATTGATTGCGGCAACTACTTAACCATTTGACTTGTCTTGCAGACATTGAAAGGAAGCACCAATGTTGTGATTGTATTATGATTAAACCAGATTAAATAATAGTACAAACCAGACAGGAAAATACTCCATTTCTAATACAGCATAACCTCCATATCATGCAAATAGCTTATCCTCCCAAGTCTGATTAGAAATGTATCTTAATTTATAATCAAGACTTTAAAAGAAGACAGATCTTCACACACATCACAGGCTCCAAGTCAAAGCAATAGATAATACTTATATATGAACTTCTCTGGACTTGTAAATCGCAACATATCATAGAGCTTTTCAAGTTGTGGTTGGTAAGCAAAGAGGTAAAAGGACAGTCTACCTCAATTGCTGCATCAGAGGCGTCAAATGAATCATAACTAATGAAACCAAAACCACGGGAGTTCCCTGTCTCGGGATCTCTCATTATCTGGAAGAAAAGATAAGACATTAAGATCACCTGTAAATGGTAAGTAAACTATGTGGTCCTAGTAAAATGTATGCATTGTAACTTATACAAATAAAAAAATAAAAAATAATAATAATAATAAATAAATAATATATATATATATATGCATAGTTTGTCATTCAAGCTGGTCTAGCATGTTTGGCTAAATGAATTCTCATACAAAGAGGATAAGTTTGATGGATGAGCTGCCAGCCATTCAGGAGAAGGATAAAGTTTTTCCTGATTTCGCCAAGCATTCAGGGAAGTTTGCGGAGCAAGAAGAAATATTGGAAATGAGCTAGAGACGGAGTTAACTAGCAAGTCTGGGAGGTTCTTAAAAGCTGTGCGGTAGGAAAGGCTATCTTGGTGGCTTCAAAAAGGCCATTATTTCACCAATGCTAAAACGTGGGAAAGTAATTAGAAGTTCCAATCCATTTTTGATTGCACTTATCCCAAAGACCATTAAAAACCAAAGACTATATTAATGAGTCCAGTGGGAAACAACAGTAAGATATTTGTTAAGGTGCTTTCGACCAGATAACAAGGTTGTAGAGGCAAGGCACTAGATGTAATGGATCAACATCTCAAAATGTTTTTATGGAAAGAAGACAAATATTAGATGCATGTTCATCATATTAATACCAGAAGCATTTACTAATATGATGGATAACAAAGTAATGAGGGGCTGTCTGAAGTGATGCAGAAATAGGATGGCAAGGCAAGGTGGTGTAACAGTGGACCACCTACAGATGGCAAGGCAAGGTGGTGTAAAAGTGAACCACCTCCAGCTTTTTGATAATCCGCTAGTGCTATGTGTTTTGGAGGGGAATAATTCGAATGATCCATATTGATTATTAAATGAACAAAAAAAGGCTCAATATTCAACTAAATCATAGTGCACTAGCCATTAGGTCAATATCTCTATGCTAAGTAAGGAGGACAATCATTAATAACATTGCAAGGAACCATACTTTTTCGCCCCTCCCCCAGCCCCCTACCCCCGTAAAAAGAAAGGGAAGGACAATAGAGAACCTGGAGGAATCTACTTCAAAGGGAAAGATGTTTGCTAGAGGATGTACAATACAATACACACTAGCAGATTGCTATAATTTCATAACATAATTTGAAGCATGGATACAAAATAGGCGAGAATTAATAAACAAAAAATAAACCCCCTTTTTTCTTGACTAAGTAGGAAGTTTACACACATCTTAAAAAGCAGCAAAATGAAGAATCATGAATAATATGAAAATAGAAGGGAAATGACTTCAACCTTTGGATTTGAAACAACAACCCCAAAAGCACTAAAAGTGTCGTATAGAAGCTTCTCTTCTACATCCTGCATATAAGATCGAAAAGGATTTTATAAGTTACCAAAAGTGCTATCATGAACAAGGTTATATATGCAGGTGATGTCATACACCTAAATAAAAGCTGCTATCCAATGTCGACATCCAGACACATTTGAATGAGAATAGTACGAGAGTTTGTATATCTTTCTCAAAAAGGAAAAGAGTTTGTAAAATACTATCAAAGATATCTATTGCTTACAGGATCAAGGTTCCCAACAAACAAATTGGCACCAACATCAACACTCTTTTTATCTTGTGATGCCTGTACAAGGATAAATTGTTGGATTAAATAAAATGTAAAATATGTAAGAAAAATCACTATAGCAAGGGAGATGCATCAATGTCATAGCATTACCTTATTCACTCGTATTGGTTTCCCATAAAGTTTAATCATATTCAGTACCTTTATTGCCTGCATCGGTAATGCTTTAGAGAGAGAGAGAGAGAGAGAGCAAGAATATCAAAAACTAAATCCATGGCTAAAAAATATAACAGATAACAAGACTTCAGCAAATAAAAAGTGTAAATGGAAAAACAACCAACACTTACATAGTCAGCATCTTCTTCACTTCGGAATTCCACAAAACCGTATCCTTGATGAGCATTAGTAACTCTGTCCTTGGGGACATAGACATTGACTGCAAATTATATAGGGAACAAATGAGATTTAAAAGAATCTAAATTTTCCAAAAGTTTAAAAAAGGCTAAGAGGATGCCGATGAAAATTTCAAAAACAAAGAGGATGTTAAAGAAGCCAGCTGTTCAGTAAAAAAATTAGACATACCTACTGGACCTGCTTGAACAAACAACTCCCATAACAACTCTTCAGTAATCTACCAATCAAAAAAAAAAAAAATCAGTAACCTGAATCAAGAAAAAAAAATCTCAATTTTCTGAGTCAACCCTGATTGCAACAAGGTATAAAAAACAGAAGGAGATAATCAGGAAGGAGCTAGTGAAAGGGGACACCAGCATCAAATATAGTGTTAACTGCAAAGGGGGGAAAAACAGCGAGAAACTGCAGAGGTAGTAATAATAGACAGTGAGGCAAAGTTTTTAAAGTGACTAATATACAAAATCTTCAAAAACACGTTGAGGCATGTCCACATAGAGACACAGGAGTCAAGGCATAAACCCTCACCAAACAGCTGAGCAGACACATAGCTATATATATATGCTATGGACATAATTATTTTATTTTTGATAAAGGTAAAGTTGTATTCTTCAGCATTAAGGGTATGCTCTCCAAAAAGTTACAAGCTATATCCATAATTACATAGATCCTAGGAAATCAGCCATCTGTTTTACTTCTTCTATATCATCTTCTTTACACCAAAAATACAACATGTTAATGCAATTTTCTTTAACTTTCTGAATAGTGTTAGTAATATTCTCATGATACCTGAGGTTTCTTTCTCTCCAAATAGCCCACCAGACACAAGTAGGTACTATAGACCCCCATCTTTTTTAGGTCTTCCCCCTCATCCAACAGCTCAGAAGATCAGCAGTATGCTATGGACATATTAGTAACAACATTCATGTAAACCAATACTAGAACAAGGAATTCTCAAGCTTTCAGCAAAACAGGCCACATAAAGTCATACTAAGATTAAGGGGGACAAATTTTGATATTATAGATGCCAGATAACATTGAACTCAAACATTTTGTTCTATATAAAAAGTCAATCGCCACAGCTGATCCATAACTGGGGAAAGAATATCCTTTGGGTATTAAGAATACAGCTGGTCTGCTTTCATTTTCATTCCACAATTCTAAGACGGCTTGGGTGAGAACAACTCTAGTTTTGCTTAGAAGAACTAGGAATAAGGCAGAGGAAAATATCCATTACCAGATTGTGATGGGGACTTAGTGTTAGGTATAGACTTTACCAAAAAACATAGTGTTGCTATACAATCATCTGGAGGGTAAACATTTTATAGTGCCTATATCTAGGTAATGATGTATCAACTATCAAGTTATTCTAGCTTGGGAATAAAACATTGTGGTTCCATGAAAATTCATAAATGAACATTAATCATCTAAGTTTTGACATATAAAATTGCCACTTTGAAAAGGCTTCAAAACGTATGTTAAAATGGTTGAAATTGCAAGCTTGCGCGCATCTCAACTAATGAAGAGGTGGTTGAACATTGTCTATGAGGAGCTAGTCAAGAGATAATTAACCAATTTCTATCCAGTCACCCTCACTCTTTTCTCGTACATTGACATCATTAATTTGGCATTAACTATTACACAAACGTTTGATTTATAGAAGGAAGCTAGTCATACCCAGGTTTATCAAATTGGAACAGGAAATCACCTAATCTATTAGCATAAAGTCAAAAGAAGAAGCAACTAATCCAGTCAATTTGGGGAAGTTGAAAATGAATTGAACCATTTTAGTGGGAAACATCTTGAGCGTCAAATTGTATGTATTTTAACCAACATTTTAAGATGTACTTTCTCATCATATTAATATTAAAAGTACTGCAACTTATAGTGTTTTGCATATAGTTTTCAAACATCTAAACTTTAAAATTTAAAACATTGAATTAATCTGGTTCAGCTTATCTAGTCAAATTGACCCTCACAAAGCAAAAAACTGACAAGTAAAAGTGAATGGATGAAGTATTTGGCTCTGCTTCTCATCTTTCGAGAAGCTTTTGTCAATTTAAGGGTGCAAAGATAAAACTTTTTACATATTCTGCCAGTAACAGTGACTATTTGTGTTGTGATTGAATCAGCTGTTCCATTTCTTTCTGTTAGTAGGATTTCATAACTAGTCCCATTCCAGATACTGGAAACTGGACAGAAGCGTCGAGAAAGCGAAACCCTAGGAGGATTAGAAGGAAGGAGAGATACCTGAGGGTCGAGGTTTCCGACATAGGCGGTGGCGTCTTGGTTGCGCTCCGCCGAGTGTTGGCCGAGAAGGTTTGCTCCCACACCCGGGGCGATACGGGTCGTCATACTCACAACTCTCCTTCACTAAAAGATTTGGCGTTTAATTAAGTCAATTGACACATATTATTATAGTCGGAATGATTGGGACACCTGTATTCAAAAGACGGACTCGTGATTTGAAGATTTCGCCTGCATTAATACTAGCTAGATTCGAACCTAATATTACTGGTGGTTTTCTAGCTAGTGCCAATAGCACAAAGACACTCCTATGTTTCTTATGGGTACACTGTTTTTGAAGTTAATGGGTGCACATACACCCCTCCTATAGGCGTGGATCCGCCTCTACCTATACTTTGGCTCTGTTTGCTAGTTAAACTTTCTTACTTGTCAATTTTTCAATTAAATCTTTAAACTTATAAGAACACAACATTTTACTCGGTTTTAAATCACAATTTGCTCGCTTTCAAATACATGCAATTGCATAACTTTCCAACTAAGCAATATTAATATCACATAAATTCAGTTAATAGTGAGAGAGTTTTAAAATATTGTGTTCTCATGAATTTAACGATTTAATTGGCAAAGTGATTAATAGAAGAGTTCAACTGACAAATAGAATCAAGTACATGGTCTTCAGAATCACTCTGTCATTAGTATATAATTATTTATTTACGTATTTATCTATAGGCATCAAGATACGTCAAAGGCTCATAGGCAGCTTATTTATAGGCGTTATTATAATCACATGATTTCTACGTCAATCTAATTGTTATGTTGTCCATATCAACATGAAATACTAATCAACTAATTACAAAGCTCTTAAGGCATCAGCAAGGCGACAACGTATCAATAGCTAACTAACTAAGCAATGACAATTTATTCAAGAAGATTTTTATGTCGCTCTTAGTATGTGGCAATAACAAAACAAAACTAATTCCAACAAGGAAAGCTCACATGTATACATATAATATAACTCCATCAACCGACTTCTAAGACATTTGATGTGATTTTCTGAATGATTATGAAAGTAATTTGCAATAGCTTTTGTTGACTTTAATTTTTACAACTCACATCATTTCACAACTTAAAATACAACTACTGAACAATTTGAATATGTTTTACCATATCCTTCTTTAACTTATTTATCATCCATAGTTTTACCTCGAAGACCAAAATTGATTTAAACATTCTGAAAGGATGGGATTTATTCATTATTTGATCTTCCAATCAATAAATAAATAGACTTTAACTTTATCTTTGAATGGTTAGATTAAGAATTTAAGAAATCTTCTTTCTAAATATCCAATTTTTTCTTTCAATTTCCTAAGTTTTCCATAAAATTTTCCCTAACATTTAGGACTTTGAATTAAGTTAGTCAAGTTTTCATATTATTGAACAAAGTTTATAAAAACAAGATTCAGGTTAGTGTATTTCAATAACATCTTTTTAACTTAAAATATGTTTTACTGAAATAAACAAATATTAATTACTACTCTTGCATGTTTTTCAATGAAGCTAGAGATTTGTGTCATAAGAATAATATAGCTATAAATTACAATAACGAAAAAGATGAACGCGACACAAACTTCTTGCATACTTAATTTTTATTTATGACATAAAATCTCAAGCTTTCATAGATAACATCTGTTAGTACTAATATTTATTTATATTGGTAAATAAAAGTAATTTTCAGTTAGGCAAGATATTAGTAATTTGATTGAAATACACTAACGTCAATCTTGTTTTAAAAACTTGACTAGTTTATTCAAAATCCTAACTAATATATTAGGCAAAGTTTTACTTTAAAACTTAGAAAATTGATAACTTGGGCCTTGGAGATTTTTTTAAAAGTCTTTTTATTAAGAGAAAAAGCTCAAATAATATGTATCAGTCTTTTGAGAAAAAAGTTCATCTATGTCATTGTAGTTTAACTTAGTGCTTATTCAAGCCACTATTTTTTTTAATTATAAACATTTTCGAATTTATAAACTATTTTTTACACTTGACCAATATAATTCGACCACATCATTAACTATTTAAAAAAATAATATTTAAATCATGTAAAAATTGCAAAAAAATTGAAGTGTAATAGGTGTGTTTGCAAATGAAAGAAATTCTCAAAAACATACTCCTTTTACATTTTACGTGATGTAGTTTGACCCGTTACATGAAAAGGAAGATTTCTGAAAATTATTATCTTAAAAATATCATTATATTTGTGTAGTTATAAGTCTTCTGAAACTTGTGATCTTACACATATCATAGAGCAGAGCTATAAACGCTCTCTTTAATGCATAAGGCATTTTTACGGTCCTTATGTTTTCCTTATTTTTTGCACATCTAACAAATGTCAATCTACAACTCATAGTTGTAATTTCCCAAATTGAAAGGCCCAATTTTTTTAGTAATAATGAAATTATAATAAACCTTTTTAGCAAAAAAAATATACTATATTTTGTAATTTATTTGTCTTTTTTTAGTTTGTTTTGAAACATTAAAGAATGTTTCTTTTTTGGATCAATTTTTTTAAAATTAACTTCCACATGATATGTTTAAGACCACAAGATTAAAAAATATTTTGGTATATAAATATATATCTTTAGTTTAAGACATAGAAAAAATAAAGCCTTGTTATTAAAAAGAAAGAAAGAACTTTGAATCTCAGATATAAGAAAATAAAAAAAATATTACTACATAAATTCTCATAGTTGACGTGATGTAGTTTGACTCATTACAGAGTTTAGGAAGTTTGACTCGTTACAGAATTTGGGAAGGAAAAGAAAGATTTTCAAGAATTGATGTCTTAAAAATATCATTTGTGTAGTTATAAGTCTTCTTAAACTTGTGGTCTTACAATTATCATAAAGCATGGCTATAAACATAAATCATAGTTATAAACGCTCCTCATTGAGGGCAAAAGGAAACATCACAATAAAGAATTTCAACACTTGACCTGGATTAGGAGCTTTAATACATAAGACATTTTACGGTCCTTATATTTTCTCCATTTTTTCACATATCCCAGCAAACCACATTTTTGGCAAACCTAAAAACCAAAATATATAGTTATTTAGCTCGCATGTGAAAAACATAAACAAATAAAACTGAGGCATATGTCTTAGGCCCTAAATTCGAAGGGTTCAAATTTTTAGTAATAATAAAATTATTATAAGCCTTTTTTAATAAAAACAATTATACTATATTTTGTAATTTAATTATCTTTTTTTAGTTTGTTTTGAAACATTAAAGAATATTTCTTTTTTTGGATCAATTTTTAAAATTAACTTCCACATGATATGTTTAAGACCACAAGATTAAAAAATATTTTGGTATATAAATATATATCTTTAGTTTAAGACCATAGAAAAAATAAAGTTTTGTAATTAAAAATAAAAAAATAACTTTGAATCTCAAATATAAAAAAATATTAAAAATTAAGTCTCCGATTTATTTTTTATTTTAGGTCACTAATTAGTTTGAGTTGTTATATCAAGATTCTATTATCTTAAATAATTCAATTAAACATCGCTTCATGTAAAAGATATTACAGCAAGAACAAAATTAGATTTAACCATACCCACAGCTCAGGCAAGTTCATATCTTAACCAAGTTGAGCGACAAAATGAATCTATAGTTCACCTTAGCCTCATATAGATCGCTGAAAATCATCAAGCGCTCATGTATTAACGAGTTTGCACTGTATGAGACCAAACAATCACGTTCCATTTCTCCCACGTAAACATGGAGATGATAGAATTTACAGGGATTTGTTAGACATAATGAGAAACTGATACTACTAATTACTCATCGCAATATAATGAAATTTTAACATTAATGTTAAGGAAACAATGCATTTTAAGGCTATTTTAAACATTCAACTTTAAACGTTTTTGCTTCCTACTTTTTGCTAGTATGATATGATATATGATATAATGATTGTGAAATCTGTCTTGGGCCAACCATTAGGACAAACCAAGGAGGAGCTAGTGTAGAACTTGTGGATTTGTCCGAACCCAATTTTTTAGTCCAAACCTTGTATACATCTTAAAAAATTCATTAAATATGTACAATTATTTAGTTTAGAACCAAGTAAATTAAAGAACTAGAATTCCGAATCCACCTCTGCCAACCACAACCTTCAAAACTCAAAAATAAATAGCCAACAGAACTCGGGTAAAAGTTGCTTTTATATTTCTAGCGATTCATTAAATATGTACAAATTATTTAGTTTATATCCTAAAATGTGCAATTCTTTCTTTTATTGTGATTTTTAATATGTCGAATGAAATCTACTAAAAAATATTTTATAAACTAAAAATATCAAAACTAAACTTAAAAGACATACTTAATTTCAAAATCACAAAAAATTGATAGACCCGTTTTTACTTTAAAATTACTTCAAATTAACTACGAATTTGATATGCGATACCATATCACGATATGGAATCGTGAGATGGAATCATCGTTTTGACATGCGATTTTATGCTGATTTCATATCATGACATGGAATCTCATATTCTCCAAAAATCATGATTTGAGAATTCCATATCATGATTTGGGATTCTTTAAAAGCATAATACATAAATGTGCCCTTTAACTTGGCCTCATTTTATGTTTATGTCCTCCAACTTTAGATATGCACAAGTAGACACTTAAACTTATATAAAGTAGAACAAATAAACACACGAGTCCTACATGGCACAATACACGTAGGACACCACGTAGACAAAAAATGACATGTAGGATGCCATGTAGAACATTTGTGTCTATTTGTTCAACTTTATACAAGTTTACGTGTCTACTTGTGCACACCCAAAGTTGAAGGGCATAAATGTGATTTGAAGCCAAGTTAAAGGGCATATTTATGTATTATGCATTTTTTAAATACAAAATTGACCCACAAGTTTATATTTTGTTAAACATTTATATTTACTAACCATTTATTTCATATGTAAATAAAATTTATAATCAGATCATTACTTTTTAAAATTTATTATTCTCACCAACATTAAATTTATTACTACTTTAAGTTTGGTGAATATAAATGATAAAGTAGGAATTGATTTGATGAATATAATAAGAATGGAGGGAGTGATACTCTTTTGGTTTTCATAATAAAAAAGCATCTCTTTCGG